GAATAACGCTGGCGCTGCTTTAATAGATGTTTTCAAGGCAATATTAGGGATTCCGTCCAATCCCGGGGCTTTATTATTCCCGACGTGGTTACAAACTTCCATCAGTTCTTCTTTCGTGACAGGTGGAATATCATTCAGTTCATCCTGTGTCAACAGATAGTTGAAAACGCGCTGTCGTGGAAACAGTGCAGTCACGATCTTCTGTAAGAGTTGAGGACACGTAGGAGACGGCATTGGCTGATATTTCAGGTGTGCCATGACTACCTTGTAAGGTCTACCCCACAATTCTTTGTCCACCTCGTTGATTAGCTCTTTCCAGCAGTTCTTCTTGCTATCCTTGATGGCTTTGTTTAAATATCGACGAGCTTTCTTGTATTCTGCGACTAGTTCCGCCGAGTCAGGCCGCCGATAACCACGCTGAGATATTCTTCTTTTCTTGAAACACTCTTTCCGTAGGAAGCTGATGTGGTCGTTCCACCAGTGCACCGAAGGTCTTTGGTTCATGCCCTGTTTACGGGGCATGCAGGTGTCGCAAGCCTGGGCCACTCTCTTCATCAAGTCCTTGGTCATTTCTTCTGCAGATCCAGTAGTAAGCGGTTTACTATTTAGGGCAGCTGCTAGTGCACTTGGGTCAAAGGATTTCACCTTCCACCCAACGATGTCAAGTTTCTTAGCCGGTCTCCTAGGATTCTGGTCCTTTGATATCTCCCAGAGAATCGCGTTGTGATCGCTGGCCGTGTAGATCTCCATCACCTTCCAGTCGTAGTTTTCTCTGATGAGACTGCTGCTGACAAAAGTAAGATCCACAATAGAACTTGCGTCGCCTTTAGTGTACGTCGGCGCATCGCCGCTGTTCAACAATACTACATCTAACGTAGAAAAAGCTTCCAGTAGTTCTTTACCTCGAGCGTTGGTGTGTTTGCTGCCCCAGTCCACTGCCCAGGCGTTAAAGTCCCCAGCTATTGCCACTGGGTAGTACTGCTTCGCGTCCTCTGTCAGTCGAATCCAGAAAGTCCATGAATTCAACAATAATGAGGCTAGGTGGTGCATAGCAGCTGTAAAAGCGGTTACCATCTACTGATGCTGCTACAAAGCCGGCACTGCCATTGTTAACGACACTCTGGAAGGGGAGCTTGCCACAGGACCATATGACAGCTTTTGTGGGGCAGTCAGTTTCCCATGGTTGGCCGCCGAGGTGTTTATACGGTTTCGATATAAGCACAAGGTCAAGCTTCTGTTTTCGTACTGTCTGCACGAGCAAATCATGTGCCGCCTCACAGTGGTTGATGTTTAGCTGCAGTATTCTCATTTTCGTTTATTAGTTTTCTTGAGTGCCTCTTGGTATACTGGGCATCTGCTTGTGCCGGCATGATGGGCGTTATTCTCTGTACCGGGTTGATCCACACACAGTACGCATTTAGCAGGCTTATTATATTCGGCGATTTTGTGTCCTTCTTCTCCACATTTAATGCAAAGTTTGGAGCGGTCGACTTCACTTGTGCACTGAACCGCACGATGTCCAAAATGCCAGCATTTATAACATCGTACTGGTCTTAGTACTGTTCTAATACGACAATTGGTCCAGCCGATCCTAATCATGCCGTGTTCTCCTACCACTTTCTGCGCTACCGTTGCTGCCAGAGTTACCAACGCAATTTGTGTTCTGCTACGTAAGACCTTACGAATTTTAATGGCCTCTACTGTTATACCACAATCGTTTCCAGCTGCCTCTTGTAAGGCTGTTAGAATGTCATCTTTAGTTGTAGTATCGTCAATATCGCGAATTTCCAGGTCTTCTTCAGGTCCTGTATTAATGACATTTGCGTCCTCTAAGTATTCTCGCGATAGTCTTCTGCAGATCTTTACCTCTATCACTACTGCCTTTCAACAGCGTGATGAGAATGTTCCCTGTTGCGGCCCTGCGTGTCTTCTCGACTGTGTTACAGACCTGATCCGGGCGAACGTCCACCTTGATCCGTGTAAGTATTTCAGAATACTTATCTTTGTTTGCTGGACGGATAATAAATGCCTCAGGTCTCGTTGCTGCTCTTCTTGGCTTCTGGTTCGGCTTCGGTGGAGGCACCAGAGGTTTTTCTGGAGGCAGTTTCCTGCGCTCCTTCCTCTTGTCCTTTCGGGACTGCACCTTTTCCCAGCCTGGCTTCTGGTTCTGTTCACCAGAGTTTTGTGGGAGCTCCTTAACCACTTCCTGTTTTTTGATGGGATGACCAGGTCCAAGGTCTTTCAACTTCTTGGGAGTATGAAAAGCTCCGCCTTCGGGAGAACGAATTTTTCTTTTCAACTTCCTCAGGTTACGGCCGTCTTGGTCAAAAGATTCAGTCTCTGTCGTCGTGATAGGTTCACTTTTTTCTTCTTCAGCGACTCATTCTCCGTCACTTTCGGCTCCAGTGTCCATCGCTTTTTCAACAGCTACTTGACTGTTTCTCTCTGATGTAGCACCGGGAGTGCGGTGTAATGATGAGCGCCATTCTTCATCTAGTTTTTTAAAACGTTGAAGGGCGTTCACTACACTAGTCATCTTGTTTTTTATCTCCTTGTGGATGTTGACCTTTGACTGGACGAAATCATTTAACTCGCTGGTCACTTTCTCGAGGCGTTTCAACGCTTGCGACCGGTTCATTTCCGCGCCTGCTTCAATAGCTGCTTGTTGGGCGTGCGGCCCGTTTTGACTCTTGTTGGTTTCCATAGTTTTAATCATACTTTTTGATTTACCAGCGCATCGTACGGAGTGGAGTGGGTTGTCATAACTAGGAACGGGTGTACCCTCGGAGATAGTACTCCTACCCCAGTTCCCTGAGGCCTAGCCGACACTTAGCCAGTCCCGGTATACACGGGCGGACTAGACTCGCTCGGGGCGGTGAAGATTCCGATCTCTAACACACACTGCGTACTTCCTGATCAAGGCCCGAAGTGGCTGGCTCCTGATCCACTACTGCAACTTAAGCCTCGGCAGAGCAAGCTCATCAGCCGTGGCCTGCATCGTCGGAAACTACGATACAGGTTCCGGACACTCCCAGTGAGTTACAACAGGGAACAATCGTCTTGCAAGGTCAGTTAGTGTGACCAACCCATTAAAGGGGAGTTTTGTCCACGGGAGTGTATTTTATTTAGCTCCTACCCTCTGTTCCTTATCAACTAAGAGACCTAGTGTCATCCAAGGACAGCGAGTGTCAACCCATCCGCTACGGGGAGACGCGCCTGGTAGCAGTTTCTCCTCTGCCGCAGGTGTGTGTGTGTGTGTTGTTTTTTTTTTTTTGAAGTGAAACTTCTTTAGAATCGTTGTGATTTCAAACCGGATGCAACGGAAAAAACGACAGGTAAGAGACACAAATACAAAAATGTGTAGGATGAAGCCAGCAATGAATAAGACAGAAATATACATACTATTTTATATTATTGGTCTCTCCTCTTTGTCCCATACTTCGTAGCGTCCCCACTCCCGTCTTCTAATAAGCATAGTCGCCTGTAATTAGTGAGCCAGAGCGAGAAAGAAAATGTCGGTGTGTATGTTTATTGCACACTGTTTAATACTTGTTTGTTTTGAGCATTTAACGTATGTTAGTATATGTGAAAACTATGTACGTGAGCTAACACTACTGTACACTGTATGCGGCTGCATATTATAGCTTTTTTAGTAAGAAGTCAGCGTGGTGTGTTATTATTTAACAGTGTGTTTGTGACTATTTTGCACGCCTTATAATCGAAGCGTTGAGGTTGTGCTCTACTCTCGACATTTCAAAAAAAGCAGTTTTCTTGAAACTAAAATTGATTTTTTGTCATTTATATCGCACTTACAGATTAATATGAGTACACTTATATCAAGTCAAATAATGTGTTAGGCACATAAAATATATTTCAATAACAATTTTTATGTTTAACATAGGAAATAATAACATTGAACATAATCTTTTCTGGACGTCCGTGTATGGATGGGTGTATGTCGCAGGAAAATTGGTCGAAAAAATGATTGTACCGAAATAATTTTTTTTTTTATTATCTAAAGTAACACACGACGGATTTTCTTAATTAATATGAGCGTTCAATTCACTGTCGTTAAATTATTATTCATAAAAAACTAATTTATGACTGGATTTCTTTGTATATCTATCTATACATTTTATTATAGTTTTTTTTCCTCACCTCAGAGTTATGGCGCCACTAAACCATAGCAGAGTTTTCTGTTTTTTATTATTTTGCTTTTGATCATTTATTTTAATCAATTTTATTGTGAGAAATGAGATTATGAGACGTGCATTTTTGGATTTTCCAAACTTTTTATCTTGTTGTGATAAACAATAAATTGTATAAGATGCCGAAATGTGTCGTCAATATCGACGCAAAAAAAAAATAAAAATAAAATTTAAATTTAAAAAAATCCAGAAAAAAGTTCAACAGAACGTAGTCGCGAGTTTCGTGCACGAGTCTCGTCGCGAGTATTCGAAAGATATATCAACCAAATTGAAACTAAAACATTTGTATCGTATTTTAGTTATCATGAGCCTCTCTTGTATCATTTGTTGAAACTGAAAATATGGAACTTAAGCAATAAATTATGTAACATATATTAAATAGAATATAAAATATCTTTTAAAATTAATCAAAATACTTTCATTTTTAAACAAAAAAACTTTGTAACTATCCTACCCTTGTTATATATATTCATCTCATTCTTTTGTCGATTTACTGAAGTTTCACTTCTATCGTGTGTGAATCGCACACACACCTTTTTTTATTTACTTTTACTTTTTCTAAGCTCAGAAAGCTCAAAATAACATATAAACAGTATTTTTAAACTCGAAGAGCTCAAAAACATCATTAGTGAAATTTTAAGCACCTAGGTATGAAATGAGCGGGAAGTTGCACAGATGGCCTCCAGAGTTTGCCGTTTTTCTAATTTTTTATATTTAGTTTCCCTTATTGCACGAGCATAAATTCAGGTTGAAAACGTAATTATTTAAGGTGCAATTTCTTAATTTTAACCCCCCTTTCTCCATTATGGAAGCCGTGTCTTTATTAGTTTGAGTAGTGTATTTATCATTGTTTTGTGTTTTTTTTAATGACGCTGGGTAAGCTTTCTCTTGATGACTAAAATTTAATGTTAACGCTGGTTTTTTGGTAAATAATTGTTTTTTATTATTATTTATGTGTCTTTGATTTGTTTCTGGTATCAGTGTTGTCTTGTTTTTGGCAGTTGCAAAACCACTTTTCACACTTTGATCTGAAAAAAAGTATATTATTTTAATGAAAAATAAAACTATCAATATATTTTTGTGATTAGATGAATAATTTTACCTTGTTGTATCGAATTAACATTGTCAACAGTAAAGTCCTCTTCAACGTCAGCCAACATCATTTCGAGAGTCGATTCCAGGGATATTAATCACCTGTGTACTATTTGATAGTTTATGCTGAGAATTGGTTTCGGGATTATTAATCATCTGCAAACTGTTTGGGTGTTTATCATGACAGTTGGTTCCTGAGCTGCTAATGTCCTGCACAAAAGGTAACGCGCGATCTTCGGAGCTGGTTCCAGGGTTGTTAATCACTTCTTCAGCAGATGATAGTCCTTCATTATGTTTTCTTCCAGGTTTGAGTCTGAATTGCGTAGAAGATGATGGGTTTGTTTGAGTGCTGGTTCCAGGTTTCTGTATCATTCTATTATTAATCATTTCTCTACTGTGCATAGAATTTTCAATATAACCCTGTGCTACTATGTCAGAACGCCACCTTCCTAATTGTTTTACCATCCGCATGTTCGCGCCAGAGTTTGACAGAAGAGTTGCGGCGGTTCTTCGGAAACAGTGACCAGTGTACCGTTGAGGATTCGGTAAATTCAAAAAAGAAGTAATTTTCTGTGGTACTCCGCCTATTGAGTGCCTACCAATTGGCTGGCGATAGCATTTACCCTGACTGTGTCTGATAAAGAATCTATGAAAAAAGTTGTCAGATGGTCTTAAAGAAATATATTTTTTTATTTTTTGATAGAACATTGATCCAATAATAAACTGACCCGGATATCAATTTTTGAAAATTTTCAATTTTCTTAGCGAGAAGTTAAAAATTTTTTTATACGCCCTTACGGTTCCCGGGACCTACCTCGAATGCCATCTGGATGTAAGCCTAAAGTTTGTAGCGAACTTACGAAAACAAATGTAACATTGACGTTCGAGACGAAGCCGAGTTATGTCCGAAAAAGTACCGAAACTAAAGGGGTTGTTAAACTTTGTGGACTAGAACGGAAAAAACAGTAGGTGAAGTTAAGAAAAACAACCGGTCAAGTAAAATATCCCAATCCACGTGCTTGCTACCCTCGTCTTCGGCTTGGTAATTTTACACGCGGGTTGTATTTCCTACTTTTCCCCCTATATGCGTAAATATCTAGTAGGTTATTTGGACGCACCGTGGCAATTTCGACAACCTCGATTTTACGGTATTTAAACCACAAATCTTAGGCTCATCTCAATATTGACGTTGTTGAAAAGACGCCCCTTGGCCGTCTAATGATGTAAATAACTATTTATTGAAAAAATGTCTCGATTCGTTTCAAAATGTATTCAAAATTTTTAGTGACTCAGTTGCTGTTAAAAATTTTATCCTGGAATTAAAAAACGACATAAAACCAAAAAAATAAATAAACGTAATTGTTTTAAATGGATGCAGCCACTTTCTATACGTGATGTCACGTGTCCGCGTCTAACCGTTACTTCGAGCTGTTTATGCAGAACCTCTCGTTTATTGTTTCCAAATTGAGAGAATAGAATAGAATCAAATAAAAGACACGTGATTGTGATTTTGTCGTGTTGTTATTAAGTCTACAAAAGGTTATTTTTAGAGGATTATGTTAAGTTGCAAAACAGGAAATAGTATCGATAGAATTTTTCTGTCAGCTTAATCGATAAAGGGATGTGTAGGAGTTTTTATTATTTAGCATTTAGTGTTGATTAAAAGAGTTATTTAGTATAGTAGCAATATACATTTATAAATATATACAGAGTAGAAGTTGAGTGTAAGGAGCTTATCTCCACGACCGACAAAATGACGAGCATTTGCATGTGTACCCTAAGTGGCCACGCTTCAATATAGATTCGTTTCGCGCATGCAACTTTATAAATTTATGTACTCTCCATTTAAAATTACCATAATTATCCTACCGAGAACCTGAACCCAATTGAATGCTACCTCGCAAATATTTCTTCATTAAAAATGAATCCGAGATTTTAAAATAAATTTTTTTTTTTACAATTTGAAAAATTTTGATATTCATTTTTCTGCACATTGATAGAGAAATTTGTTAATATTTATTAAGCTTCATTGATGGTCAATAAATGAATTTTTAACATTGGATATTAATAGTATATTGTGCAACAAGTGCGACAAGTTGTCGATTGCCCACGAAAGCGAAGTTGAACGCACGAGCGAAGCGACTATGATAGAAAAAATGAGATCATTCGAACGCAAATGCTTTAGAACTTGTTTAAAAATGTACAGAACTGAAACATCTGATTACAAAAAATATATTAAAAATCAAACCTTATACGACAAAGCTAACATCCCCAGAATTGACTCACACATTTTACATCTAATCAGAAATCATTGGGCTAACTCATCAAAAATTCTAACAAACTCAAATATTAACAAGTCCTTGATACCAAAACAGCAATACATTGAAAAATCGTTAAAAAAAGGCTACGTGCCTCCAGAGGCTTTTTTCTACCTGGACAAAAATAATTACCTGCAAGACCGACAAAACCTAAACACAGCAACAGATAACCCGAAATGGCGTTTTGACATGTCAATTCCAACAAAAGACAGAAAAAATATTGAAAGAAAAAATACAGAAAAATATTGGTGGTTGAAATAATTTTCTCATTACCACATCATCCTTTGTACATATGTATATATTTTCCACTTAGTTTAAGCCTTAGTTAGTAAGAAAAAAAAATATAAAAAAAAAAATAACGGAGTTTACAACCCTTCTCCAGTATAGAAAAAAATTAATTTATTCATACAATTAAAAAATAAAAAGAAAAAAAACTGAAATGACCTCGAAAGAGCAAGAATTTATAAGAAAGTTGTACTGCATTGCGTTGCCCAGCCTGGCCATATGTGTATCAAAAAATGTAATTAAAGCTTGTTTTAGTTTGTTTAATGAATTAGTCTTTCAAGCATCAGGTCCCAGGTTCGGTTCCCGCGCGCGCCGATTATTTTTTTTTTTTTATGGAAATAATTTTATATAATTGTATATAATTATATATGACCATTTTTCGTATATCATTATGTATGAGTATATATAATTATATATAATCTTTTTTACCTGGGCAATTTTAAAATCTGACCAGATCTGGTCAGATCTTTAAATTGTCCGAGTAAAAGAGATTATATATAATTATATGTACTTATATGTACATAATTGTATATGAAAAATGGCTCTATATAATTATATAGAATTATTTCCATAAAAAAAAAAAAAAAAACCGGCGGGCACGGGAACCGAACCTTGGACCTGACGCTCGGAAGACTAATTCATTACCTGTTTACCTACGAGACTTACTTGAAGAGTGGAGTTTGTAATAACTACAAGTAATGCAAATCGTATCCATGATTGATGCATAATGAACAAAATTTTTTATCAAGGTTGCAAATTATCAAGTATCAATATACGCCGATAGAAAGATTTATTAACTATTAACAAATTAATTCATTCAAAGACAATTATTTAATTTATTAAATTTTGATGAATATTTTTTAACACTCAATAAATATTTATTTGGGAGGAAAGTTGATTTATTAAAATAGTTTATAAGTATTTATTAATGATTAACAAATATAGTTATATCTGACCAGATATAATAAAATTCTTTTATGTCTGATGTATTTTTCAACCTAGATATAGTTATATCTGTTTAGACCTGATAGATATGGCTAGATCTGATCATGTTTGATATAATTTTCAACTCAGATATAGTTATATCTGTTAAGATCTGATCAGATATGACTAGATCTGATTATATCTCAAATTCCATATTTGGTCAAATATAAATAGATCTGACCAGATATAATTAGATCTGACCAGATCTAAACCTTTTTTCCCGGAAAATTGTTTGGAAATCAAATTGTTGTATGAGAAAAATAATCCAAAGTGTACAATTGTAACCACATGTAATCTCTCATATTTTTAAAGAAAAATTTTAATAAAAAAAAATGTATTTAATTTTATAATCTGGATTTGATATAAGTATTATAGAAATTCACTAGTTAATAATTTAAGAATATATAGATGTATTTTTGAAGCACATTAAATAGTAACTTGATTTAAAAAATTTTGTATCCTTAAGAAACGTCGGTATTATCTTGAATCAATTTTACTGGCTTCAAACCAAGAAAAAAATATACTTGAGTGAAATGTATGTGTATCTCGTTTGAAAACAATAAAATACTTAGTCGGAGGATTAAATTCTTAAATAGAAATTCTTTCGATCTCCATCAAGAATTATGATTTATTAATTCAAATGTAACGTTTTCTTCAATTAAGAGATGAAAATATTTATGAATTATTATTACTGAAATTTTGAAGAACAATACTTACTTGAACTAAGTTATTTTTCTTTTTGTCTGCGACTCATTAGTGGTTAACAAATCGTTTATTAAACACGATTAATTAAATGTTGATAAATTTTTGTTCATAATTAATTGAAATTTATTAACTATTAAGAAATGTATTTTTTTCCAAAAAAGAAATATGTAACTATATATTAATTCAATTTTATAAGTGGAAAAATTAAGAAGTGAAAATTAAAAAATAAAGTTTTATTCATGGCCAAAAAAAAATTGATCAGGATTGATAATCAAAAATCCGTTGGCAATCTCACAATAATCTCTTTTGCGTTGTCGGGTTTTATCCATAATGATGACAAATGACGGCGTAAATCACATGACACTTCTTGCGCTCTCAAATTATCATGATCATAAGCCTACAGATCTTGTCACTAAGCTTAATACACACTCAACCTTTATCATCATCACCATCAGTAACACCATTTTTATCACTATCATCATATCATCTCAGCCAATGGGGATTGTAACTGTTTGCATGCTACAATTGTTCCTGAGACATCCGCAATTCGCTTTTCCCACACTTGTCTAATTTAACATGTCAAAATTAACCATTACTCGCCCACCAATCTCCATCTCCATCTCCATTTCACCATCAATATTCTCTTATGCTTCTGTTGCACTCAAAAGAAACTATTTGCTTCAAGAGAAATTATTTTTATCCAAGAAAAAAAAATTATTTTTAAGAGAAACTTATGCTAACATTCAAGAACTTCTTCTTGAAACTCATTTGTAAGTAACTTATCAAAGATAAGAAATTTTCTCTAGAAAATTCAATTTTCTACAAAAAAAGATTTCTTATAAATTTTTCATATCTTCAATATTTTACCCGTTGTTTAGAATTCAATTCTTTACAATGGATCCTGGTGTAAATAATCTATCTAGAAAATTTTGAAAAAATTATTGGTGAAAAAATAAAATTAAGATTTCAAGTAAACTATCAACGATACAAGAGAATTGATAAGAGTCTTTCTCGTAGAAGATTAAATTTTCTATATAAAAGATTTCTTATCACTTTTTTGTACCCTTAATATTTGGCCCGTAATTTAAATTCAATCCTTACTGTGGATTCTAATGTGAATAATCAATTACAAGCTACTGCACGGAAGATTATTTCTGAAGCATTAAAATCAGAATTGAGAGTGAAGTATCAAAAATACGACAAAATTAATAAAAACTTTTTTGTAGAAAATTAAATTTACGATAAAAATATTTTTTTTTAGACATACTTAAAAAATACAATATGTAAGGGAATAAAATTTAAAAAATTGAAAATGCACGACTCATAGCGCCATCAAAAAATCTAAAAAAACTAACGCTTAATTTTCCTGACTTTCACTTAGGTGAAAAAAAAAGAAATTGATAGCTATCCATCTCGAAAATCAATATTACAGTAATTGTGCTCAGTGTTATTATTGAATAAATAAATAAATAGCAGGCTGTCATGCCCGGAGCTGAATCGAGTCGACCCCATAATATCAATAAAACCTCTACTCAGACACCTTTTACCTTACACTCATAATAACGTTAATACACATTATAATAACGATTATCTCAGCCGTAAAAATCAGACTTTTAATGCATAATAATAAATAATAAAATTAATCAGTGAATGTAAGTCGATTGTATCTCGCGACCTTGCGGTATGTAACACGAGACTCGTGCCCCATATATGCGGGTGTTACCGTAGAACGTTGCAAATCAACAATGTTTATAATTATCTTCTTGACCTTGTAATCTTTTTTTTTTAAATTACAACAATTATCAAGAAAAAATTATACAATTTCTCTTTCTTCCAAATAAATTAAAGGTACAAAAAAATTAATTTACTGCTTTTGTTTCATTTACCCTATTTCGAAATCGGGAACGTGCACGTGCGAGGTACGCACGTGTTCCGCTCTCGCAAATATATTTTACTAATAGAAAAAATTATTAACTGTTAATGAATAAATTTATTTGGAAATTGTTTTTTAATTTATTAAAAATAACTAAATATTTACTAACAGTTGATAAATTGTTTTCCATAAAAGATTATTTAATAATTAATAAATTTACCAGTAACAAATATTTACCAACTGTTAATTGATCTTATTTAGTAAACTAGAATTCAACATACGCGCGCGCCTAATTGCTGGTCTATATATTTATTATAAAAATAAAAAAAAAGGAAACCACAATAAATGCAACATTTTTTTGACTTTATTTGAGCAATGTAGTAAATTCGTCTTCTTTTAATCGCAATCTAAAAGGAAAGATCTAAACAATTTTGAATTCTCATAAAAATCAATATTTCGAAATTTTTGAAACCTTATTTCTAATAATTAATAATATTCTTGATGTTATTATCTCTTATCGTGTTAATTTTATTCGAATCTTAACGTCCAACTTTACGAAATAAATAGTTATTTTCGATACATATGCGCAAAGGGAAGGATTTTGACGGCTTAAAGTGATGTCACCAGTTTGAGGCTATGGGCGCAGTCCTATCAAGATCGAATTATTTATCCGGACGAACGTAGCGAGTCCGGATATAGTACGAGGTTTTGATGACAATGTATTCATAGCCTCAAACGTGTGCCTTTACTTCAAGTTTGTCAGGGTTCCTACCTTTGAGCATAAAGTATCGAACATAATTTTTTGTCATATCAATTGCGGAACTTGAATTTGAGAGAACAGTCAAAAATTTTCAATTACTGTTTATTTCATTTAAAGACACAAAAACAAGAATTATGTCACACGAAATTATATCGCGATGGATTAAACGTACGTATATGTTGAAGTTGTTTACAAGATTCAACTGTCGCTAAGATTCTTTTTGCAATTTTTACTCCACCCAGCGGACGTTTGTCGAATTGAGAGATAATTCGACTCATCTATAGCGTATTTTAGCGTAGTCGTGCGGAAATGTAGAGACAGATAGAGAGAGAAAACTGTTACTTTTCGATACTAGTGCGAGGTAAACTAACTAAACTATAATAAAAACAAAAATTTTTATGGACTATAAAATACTGAGTTGAATATCTATTATATTATACGTTGCCTACTCCCCATAGAAACCCCCACCGTCCATACACCCCATAGCAACTGTTGCCTAGCAACAAGGCTTCACATCTTACTAAACCAACTCTTTATCTGGAGATTATCAAGGGTTGATAAAACTTTTTAAATATTAAAAGATTCTTTTATAAGTGTACTAGCTGTTACCCACCCGCTCCGCTGGGTGCTTTAAAGAATTATATTTGTAGATCT